ACGGTTGGCTTTCTGGGCTGCCAGCGCACACGGCCGGCTCATGCCCAGCTTTCCATCCCCCAGCACCCCCAAGTCCTTCTCCTCAGAGCTGCTCTCCATCCATTCTCCACCCAGCCTGTCCTTGTGCTGGGATTGCCCCGACCCAGGTGCAGGACCTTGCCCTTGGCCTTGTTGAACTCCATGAGGTTGGCACGGTCCCACCTCTCCAGCCTGTCCATGTCCCTCTGGATGGCATCCCTTCCCTCCAGGGTGTCACCACACCACACAGCTTGGTGTCGTCAGCAACCTGCTAGATCTACTAGATGTGAATCTGTTTCTGAGAAGCACCAGTTCTGGGTTGAAAGTTTCCACTTTTTGAGGATATATCTGATGAACTCAAGGGATTTTGTAGTAGCTGAAGCCAAGTGACAGGGTTTAGGAGTGATGCTCTGGTAACTTACCTACCAAACTGTAAGGCTGAACTAACCTCTGGAGTTAAACTGCCTCTGGAGAAGCATCTTCTTTAATGGCTATATCGATGTACTCACAGGGCACTAGAAATGTGTTGGACATCTGGCTGTTTTGGGTGGTAACTGCTGCTTTTTCAAGGTAGCTGTATGTTTTTCACAACATTTAATAGGTTAGAAGTGACCCGGTGCTTGGTTTAAGTAAATCTATTGGGTACTTACTTAATTTAATGTCTCTTTGGATTCTACAACATGTGATGATTTTCTTTAGTCTAGATGCTACTCTTCTGGAGGAAGAAAGGGTTTTATATCAGGTTTTGTTGAGAACATCAAACAGGAATTAGCAAAAAACAAGGAGATGAAAGAAAGTATTAAAAAATTCCGAGATGAAGCTAAAAAGCTAGAAGAATCCGATGCGCTTCGAGAAGCAAGGAGGAAATATGTGAGTCTTCCCCTTGAATTCCTTTGACGTTTTCACTGCCAGTCACCGAGCTGTTACTGTTCTGAATGTGCATTTGAATCCCTCTGCAAATGAACTGGTTAGTTCAGCATGCCTGTTGTTACGAGAAGTTCTGCTTGGCTGGGGGTACTGACTGGTAGATGGATGCCTCCGAGTGGGGTTTTTTTAGGGAAAAATCTTTCCAGCAGACTCATAACTGGATTTCCCAAATAACGAGACTTCAGATTTAACGCTGGCAGTCTTGAAATACTTCTTTTGCATTCTTTGAAGGACTATAAAGAGCATTCCTTGCAAAAATGAAATGCTGATGCTGGCTATTCAAGTAGTGTGCTCCCTAAACGCACCTCGGTTTGCCCTCGGTAGCGGTGTTAACGGGGTGTGTGATGTGCTGGACTGCTCCTGAGTATTTCCTGTCCTCCTAGTTACATGCAATGTGGTTTTTTTTTTTCCACAGAAAACCATTGAATCTGAAACAGTGAAGACCTCAGAAGTGATTAAAAAGAAACTTGAAGAAATAACTGGTACAGTTAAAGAGGTAAAACGCGGCTGTGGGAGAACCTTGCCCTAAGGCGGTTCTGCTTTAAGGTTATGTGTGTTTTGTGCGCATTTCAATTGTCACCCTTTCTTTTTTCTTGGTGAAAGGTGGTTGCTATTCCAAAGAGGATCACTATTCTGAATCTTTAAGGTCAGATTCATTAACAAAATTGCAGCAACACTGTATGCCAGATTCTTTCTTCAGTTAGTGTGTGCTCATAGAATCACTGCCCAGTGATTCCTCTGGGATTTGGAGATGGTCCTTATGGTTCTGTATTGTCTAGGAGTAAAAAAAGCCTCCAGGGGGTTCTTGCACTGAGGGCAGTTAGAGCAATGCTGGAGGATCCCGCTGGGAAGTTGTTTAGAGGGTGTGCTGCTCTTCGCACTGATGCTTCTTGCTACTGATGTGGTCGGGCTTCTGCCTTCTTGCTGCATGTTGAAGGTGACTTGCACCATCGGAGGCTCCAGGTGTGAGTAGAGGTGCTGGTGGTATATGTCACAGAATCACAGACTGGTTTGGGTTGGAAGGGACCTCAAAGCCCACCCAGTCCCAACCCCCTGCCACGGGCAGGGGCACCTTCCACTAGACCAGGTTGCTCCAAGCCTCATCCAGCCTGGCCTTGGACACTCCCAGGGATGGGGCATCCACAGCTTCTCTGGGCAACCTGTCCCAGTGCTCCCCACCCTCTCTGGGAAGAATTTCTTCCTGATATCCAATCTAAACCTCCCCACTTTGAATTTAAACCTGTTCCCCCTTGTCCTGTCACTACAGGCCCTTGTAAAAAGTCCCCCCCAGCTTCCTTTTAGCCCCTCATGCACTGGAAGGGGCTCTAAGGGCTCCCTGGAGCCTTCCCTTCTCCAGGCTGAACCCCCCAACTCTCCAGCCTGTCCCCATGGCAGAGGGGCTCCAGCCCTCTGAGCATCTTCGTGGCCTCCTCTGGACTCGCTCCAACCAGTCTATATCCTTCTGATCTTGAGGATTCCACAGCTGGATGCAGCACTCCACGTGGGGTCTCACAAGAGCAGAGTACAGGGGCACAAGGGCAGAGTACAAGATACAGTTGGTGTTCTCCAGGTTAGCATGCTGTAAGTGATCCCGTGGCTCTGTGTGTCTTGGGAACAGCAAAATGCCTGGAGGAGCAGGTATCGTTCATACCTAACAAACATGAATGTCTTCTGTTCTAGGCTCAGACTTGTAAGATCTGCTTTTAAGCAATTGAATTCAAGTTTATTTTTGAGGCAGAGACTAAGTGCTGCAGCTTGTTCTCCTTCACTTCATTTCTTCTCCGAGTTTGTCCTGGCAGCAGATGTATTTGAATGCTTTGTATGCTTTGACTTTTATCTCCAGAGGAAATAACTGAGGAGTCTTCCTGATTGCATTTTAAATATGGAATAAATGAAGTGCCTGTGGCACCTGCAGAAGCTGATCTGTGTTAATGGTATCTATGAATTCAGCTGGCACAAAATGGGGCTCTTTGGGCAGTCCTTAGTGGGGTGCAAGACCTTTTATTCCTTACTCCCTCTTTTCTGCCCCCTTCTCAGCACAGACACTGCTCTGGGACCTGCTGCTGGTTTCTCCTCAGCCTTCCTTCCGCTGTGGGGCTGTCCGTATGCAGGAGCTGGCACTGAGCCTGAAGACTTGGAGAGGGGCTGTTGTTGTGGTGTCTGCCACCCTGACAGTTACTTACAGGCACCTGAGCCTGGGTTCTCCCTCCTGCTAATTAGAGTAATTAAATCAGCAGTGACTGAAAACCTACTGCTCTTTCTCTTAAAGTTAGCAGAAGGTTTCCTGCAGTTAGTTGCAGCTGAGAGGTACTTCGGGAGGCTATTCCTTATCTGTCAGTTGAGGGGCATGGACCTCTTGCTCACAGCTGGGCTGCTTCAGAGCAGAGTGAACTTGGCTGTTTTCAGCAGCGGTTGAAGGCCGAAGCCTGTGTGATTGTTCCCAGCACTTGCAGTGTGGTGCAGGATCCCTGCTGAGAAACAGCCAGCCAAACGCTGGGCTTAAACTCTGTGCAAGACGGTCTGTGTGGACCCGGTCCCTGCTGCCCGCTGTGCTCCTTCGCTTCATTCCTTCTGCTTAACAGTGTGTGCAGTTGTCACAGAATCTTTAGGCTGGAAAAGACCTTTAAGATCATTGAGTCCAACCGTTCACCCAGCACTGCCCAGCCCACCACTAACCCTGTCCCTGAGCACCCCGTCCACACGTCTCTTAAACCCCTCCCGGGATGGTGACTCCCCACCTCCCTGGGCAGCCCCTTCCAGTCCTGAAAGCCCTTTCCATGAAGACATTTTCCCTAACATCCAATCTGAACTTCCCCTGGCACAACTTGAGGCTGTTTCCTCTTGTCCCATCACTTGTCACTTGGGAGGAGAGACCGACACACCCCTCTGTCCCCTCCTTTCAGGGAGCTGTAGGGAGCGATAAGGTCTCCCTGAGCCTCCTCTTCTCCAGGCTGAACCCCCCCCAGCTCCCTCAGCCGCTCCTCACAGGAATTGTGCTCCAGCCCCTTCCCCAGCTCTGTTCCTTTCTCTGGACACGCTCCAGCCTCTCCGTGTCTTTCTTGCAGCGAGGGGCCCAAACTGACCCCAGGATTCGAAGTGTGTGGCCTCACCAGTGTCTAGCACAGGGGGATGATCCCTGTCCTGGTCCTGCTGGCCACACTGTTCCTGATGCAGGCCAGGATGGGCACTTGGGCCTGCCTGATGGACACAGTGTGCCCACTTGGGCACACTGCTGGCTCATGTTCAGTGGCTGATGAGCAACCCCCCCAGGTCCTTTTCTGCCGGGCAGCTTTCCAGCCCCTCGTCCCCAAGCCTGGAGCGTTGCAGGGGGTTGGTGTGACCCAAGTGCAGGACCGGGACGTTACGTGCCAGACATCATGCTCTCTGCTGATGTCGGCATAACCATTACCTTTTCAGTACTGTTGAGGGTGCTGTAAGCACCTTTGTTAGCCAAATCTCACTGAAAACCAGGGAAAGCTATTTAATACTGTTCGCCTGGCATTTCCCTTCCTCTGAGGTTGCGGCTTGTGACTCATGCAGGGCTGGTTGCCTGCTGCCAGGGAGATTTCCGAGATCCTCAAGGGTCTGATGTGTGCCAGTGCAGAATGAAAGGGCGACCGGCTACTGGCTGAGTCCTTTTAACCTCTTTATACAAGATCCTGGCTCTGTAAACATGGCCCAAGTGTTGTCTGTGAAGATGTTGGATTCAGAGGTGTTTCCTCGCTTTGCAGGGAGGGTTGCATAGCAGAGAGCTCTCTCAGCCCCTTCTCTGAGAAGCAAGAAGTCCCTGATTGTTTTGAAGGAAAGGGCTAGGGTGTTGTAACCTTGACATCACTGGTTCTTGTCTTTGATATCAAGAAAAATAGGTGTTTTTAAAAAACCTGTGGGTAGCAGCTATTCCAGATGCGTGTGTGGTCCCAGGAGCAGCCGAATTTGTTGTTCTGCACAGAGGCGTTGGCTGTCACTGCAGCGCCGAGCCACGGTGTCCCTGTGAGCCTCTCCTGTGACGTGTAACGCTGTGTTCACCTTCGGTTTGGCTAGGCTGGTTGTGTGCGTGGTAGGAGGTCTTTAGCCTTCGCAAGGAGGAGTTGCCGAGTTACTCAACGTGAGTTTTCACCCGTTTCACCCCCCATGACCTTTTCTTTCCTGTTTCGCTTTGTTGCAGAGTTTGGATGAAGTAAGTAAGAGTGATATTGGTCGAAAGATAAAGGAAGGTGTGGAAGAAGCAGCAAAAACAGCAAAGCAGTCTGCGGAGTCAGTGACAAAAGGAGGGGAGAAATTAGGCAAGACAGCAGCCTTCAAAGCCATTTCTCAGGTATGTAAGTCTCATGCCTCTAGGGCCTGGCGCTGTGCGCACAGATTTATGGGTGAGTTTGTGCTGAGTATAAAATGAAATGCAAAACTCTTTAAACAGGACCTTGTGAGCCATTGGAATAAGCTGGAATAAATTCCAGAGATGTGTTATGCAGGTCTAGCGTTCACTCAACAGCCTGAGGAAAGTGTAAGTCTCGAGTAGCTGAGCGGTTGGGAAAATGTTTTACTGGAAGTTGGTTGCCATGCTTGTGGAGTAGGGTGGTAAATGTCACTCTTCTGCAGCCTTGCTTAAAACTCTCCTGTTATAGAAAATATATAAAGCACTCTCATGTGTTGATGTCACCAAATCAGCTGTCAATTAGCCTAAAAAGAAGCGTTCCCCTTGACTGGTTTCTCGTGCCTTCACGGGCTTTAGCCCATGTAGAGGAGATGTCAGCCAGATGGAGCGTTGGTCGCACCAGTCATCCCAGTTTCCCTCTTTCTGTGTTTCCAGTCACAGAATCACAGAATGGTTTAGATTGAAGGGACCTTAAAGCCCACCCAGTCCCACCCCCTGCCACGGGCAGGGACACCTTCCACTAGACCAGGTTGCTCCCAGCCTCATCCAGCCTGGCCTTGGACACTCCCAGGGATGGGGCATCCACAGCTTCTCTGGGCAACCTGTCCCAGTGCCTCCCCACCCTCTCTGGGAAGAACTTCTTCCTGATGTCCACATAATGAGACTGAAGGCTAAAGGTCACTCCCAGCCACACTGGCAGTTATACACCATTAGTGGGTATTCAGGGTGTCTGTGACAAAACCCGTTACCTTACTCCATCAGCCTCTGAACTGAACTGTTTGTTCCTTCTGTGAAACACACTGCTAGGCCAGACCTTAGAAGCAGGGAATGATTTTATGGGACATCAAAGTGAATTTTTTTAGGCTTAAAGATTTGTTTTCCCTGTAAACAGATAAACCTTTTGATTCCCTGTCAGATTTAGCTGATTCACAGCTTTCATAGTCTGCGAGCAGTCCTTGTAGCTCTGCTGTCCTTTCTGGTATGTGTGTAGAATTTAGAATATTCAGTCTGCTGCTTCATGCTATTGGGATCCCCCATTGCTTCAGTATTTAGGAGATATTTTATTTGTATGATCTAGAGCCAGGTGGTACCTACAGGGGCTTGTGTCTTGTCCTCTTCTCTGCCAGGTCCCTCAGATGGTCCTTTATAGGAACAGACTGAGCTTTGCAGCTCTTTATTTGCTTATCCTTGATGCTTAAAGTCACTTAAACCCCAATTTCTGCTTCCTGTGAGATCTCTGGCATCTTCTCTGCCTGGGCCTTGGGCACTGTTGTAAAGTTCTTCAGGAAGGAGTCGCCCTGACTGTCAGGAGGGAGGACAGCTGCCGCTGCCAGGGCTGTGTTGGACACTGTGTGTGTTCTCCAGAAAACACCTGCATAAAATAAAGCTGAAAAATAACAGCCCCCCCTAAAGCCACGGGATGCTTTGGGCTGCAGAACTTGCACACCCTCAATAAAACTGCAGACGGGGGAAAGCTGCACGCAGAGTATACATCAAATCCCGTTTCTGCCTGCACGTGTCCCGCTGGTCCAGGAAGGCGTATGTATTGTGCAGCAGGTCCTCTGTAGGTGCAGTCACGAGAGAAAGCCCTGCTCGGAAGTTAGGTGATGGAAGTAGAGCAGCCAAGGAGAAGGAGAAACACTAAAAAAGCCTTTGAGTCCCAATCCCTGTGAAGCGTGTGACAAAATTCCCCACGGTGGTTGCATTAGGATGCAGCTTCCTCTTGGCAGCATCTGAGCCAAGGCTGTAGCTGTTCCCTGCTGAGATGTACCAGCCCAGGTGTATCGAGTCCTTCTTGATGTAGCCTCACCCAGGAGGGAGAACACCCTGTCTCCCCGTTGGTATAAGCTGCACTACTGTGATTTTTTTCACGTCTCTCTCTGGCAAAACCCAGTTTCCTTCGCAGCTCTTTTCTCAGCTAGAGGGGGTGTAGAATTCTACAAAAAGCAAGGCTCCTTTTTGTTTTGGGGAAAGCGCTGTTTCTGTTTGCTTAAGCTTGGGCCTAGAACCTGGATTTTATTGACCTTTCAGGTGTCTTTGCAGTTAGCTGTTTGTGTCCTGATGTCTTTCTTTTCCCCTGCTTTTGGATACCCGGAATCATCCTTCTTTTTCCCAGGGCCTTGTCGTTCTGTCACAGCTGCTGGGGGCTGATAGGCCTGCCTTCCTCTGACGTGATTTATGCGAGTTTAAACCCCGTAGAGGTTACCCCTTGTCAGCTCAAAGGTTTGACTCTGTCCATAGCTTCTCCTATACTATTTTTTTTCCCCCTCAGGCTGATTCCGTACAACCATCCATTTGCTGTCCTAGACTGTTGGCTTCTTAAGCAGAGGCCTTGGTACTGGTGTGGTTGTCCGTCAGCAGCGACAAAGAAGCAGTTGCTGGGGGAGGGAGAGGAGGATAACCCGTGGCTCAGTGTTCAGTCTGCAGCAGAAGTGATTTGCAGTCTGGGAAAGGTGGGGGGAATAATAAATCAACCTAATAGGGATATTTTCCTTTCAGGGAGTAGAAACTGTCAAGAAGGAAATAGATGAAAGTGTTTTAGGGCAGACTGGTCCTTACAAACGTCCGGAGCGACTCCGAAAAAGAACAGAGTTCTCAGGCGAGAGGATTAAGGAGGAGCGGATATTCGAAGCTAATGAGTACGTATTGGGTGTAATTTCGGGGCAATATTTCTGCCTATAATTTGATAAAACCTTTAAACTGCAGGTGAGGGATGGTTAAAAGCCAAGTGAGGCTGTGGGGTGAGGCGTGACCTAGCAGAGCAGGTACCTCTGAGAGCAAATTTCCAGCGCAAGCTGATGACACGGAATCTTCCGATAGTGAAAGTGGGCACGTAAAGTGATGAAGTGGGTACCTAGTGTCCTGACGTGAAATCTGGGCTTGTGTTAACGTTTGCTCAGTTCTAACGTCTTGCTGTTACGGTTGGCGGGACTAAGGCTGAGCTCCTTTGCCTTCTCTGCTCCTTCCTCCACCCAGTCGCGTGCTGTTTATGTGGTGTATCAGCCTCCGCCACACTGCGTGCAGCGATACTCCTCGGGATGTCCTCTTCCTTCTCCCGGGGTTTTAAGTCACTTGCTCATGAGTCCCCCTGTCTCCTGCACTTCTAGGGAGGCCATGGGTGTGGTGTTGCACAAAGACTCCAAATGGTACCAGCAGTGGAAAGATTTCAAGGACAACAATGTGGTCTTCAATAGTAAGTGTTCCAAAGACAGAGGAGTAGCACATTATTTTCCCTGTTCTGGTTCTTGCTGTGTTGGATCTGATGCCATCTGTGCCACTAGCCTCGACATAATGCAAGTCACGGCCATTGCTTTGGGGGTAGCTGGGGCTGTGAGGGGCTGTGAATGGGAGGTGGGCGTCCGTTGACAACACTGCAGCTTTTCCAAGCTGCTCCATCTGCGTTTGGATCCCTCCCCCCGTCAGGCATTGTTTTTGAGCAGTCCCTGCTCCCTGTAGGTACCAAAACCGGCTTTTGCTGTTGCTTAAAGGGGACTGAACTCTGTTCTTTTTTTTCTGGTTTGTTTTTTTCCGGTCAGATCTCCTCTGGTGCTGGGAAGAGGTCAGGGCATGCATGCGTGTCACCAGGGAGAGGGCGGGCAGGTCTCTTCTCCCTGACCTTGAGCTTATAACCAGGGAAAAATCTTATCTTCAGTGAGCTTGTTTCTGCTTAGAACCCTGGAATGTGTGGGACTGCCTCCGTTCTGTTTCTATTGCAAAACCTAAAAATACTGACTATCTGTACTGCAGTAGGCAATGGTTTTGGGTAGTTATCTAGGCACCTAATGTTTTTGAAAGGCATAAAGAAACTTGGGGCCAGAATCCTTCAACAAATCAAAATCATCACTGCCAGTGTAGTGCAGAGTGAATGATTTAAGGAAAAGGAGACGGGTGTAAAAGTGCATTAGCATATAATCAACTTTGGATTGTGTTTCTTCCCAACTTCTTGTAAAGCGGTGCTCCCTGGGAGGTGTCCAGGAGTGGGTTTTTACATCCCGTGTGTTAGATTTTCCAAGGAGAGATGCTCGTAGCTCCTAAAACTCCCCACATGTTGCATCCTCCCGCCCTCTGCCGTCTGCTCGAGCTCTGCATTCTCTGGGTTTTACACCCATTTCCCAGACTGCGGTTTTGCAGTTCCGGCAGCGCTGCAGGCGTGGCTGCACGGTGTGTGCTCTGCCTTTATGTGCCACCTGTACCAAGAACACTCTGTGTCTTTTGGGAGGAGCATAAGCCCAGGGCAGGATTCCAGTTGTTAAGTGATGTGGTGGGAAGAAGCTTCCCTGCAGGGCCCATTATCCCGCAACTGCCTGCTGCAGTTCTGGTCCCTCTGCCGGTGTCCGGAGACAGATGATAGGTTGGTTGAGCCCTTCCTTTGTTGCAACAACGTCTGCTTCCTTAAATGGCTTTTTTTGGTTTTTTTTTTGCTGCACCTCTGCCCTTCTTTCTGCCTTTGAGATTCTGCTTTGCAGGATTTCTCCTTCCCCATCGATGACATGGATGTGCCGTGCTTGGCCGCCTTTCTTACCAAGGTTGAGAAGTACACAGAGCTGCTTAAAAACCACATCCTTCCTGATGCCCTGCTATGGTAGTAAAAACTGGTGCAGTTTGAGCTCTGTTCTTGATTTCTCCCCCCACAGTTAGACTCTCTGGTGTTGGTTTCACATTGCTACGACCTGCTGCTCCTTGTAGCGGGCTGAATCAGGGGGTGCAAGCGGACTGAGTGCAGCAAGGAAGTCTGGGGTGTCTTCTCTCTGAAAATCCACAGGGAAGATCCAGAGTGTGTGGCAGAAACCATCATTCAGTCAGAGAAAGTCAGAGGAAGCATCATTCTCCAGTGACAGTTACTGATGGTTATGAACATGGCAGGAGAATGAGGAGAAGAGGGACTGTTGAAACTTGTTCATCGACAGAGATTGAGGGGAGAACTGGCAGCTCTCATCTGCAACCCGTTGCCTGTTGTTTCCCGATTCAGGGGTGTAGTGGAAGGACACTGCTGCTCACGTCTCCTCTCCTTTCAGGGTTCTTTGAGATGAAAATGAAGTATGATGAAAGTGATAACGCGTTCATTCGAGCTTCCAGAGCTGTCACAGACAAAGTCACTGACTTAATAGGTAATGTTTCATCGCTGCTGGGAAAGCGCGTCTCTCGCCTCTTAGCTCTGTTCCTAGTGACTAAGTGCTGTTGTCCTCCACCTGGTACTAACCTTTGGGACAGATTCCGGAGCTTTATCGTATTTTGCATGGATCATTATCCAGGCTCGTGCAGTGTAGCAACCTGCCACTGGATCAGCAGTGGGGTGGGCTGACAAGTGCTCGTCTGGGATAAATCTGAGTGTCTGCAGTCATTCCCCAGTGACTGTTCTCCCCTCTGGTGTATCACCAAAGGTGTTTCTCCTGTTTGCCTATAACAGTGGTCGTGCCACCGCTCTCACTGAGTTGTTTTGTTAGGTGGATTGTTCTCGAAGACGGAAATGTCTGAAGTTTTGACAGAGATACTCAAAGTGGATCCATCCTTTGACAAGGATCGTTTTCTGAAGCAATGCGAGTACGATATAATCCCCAATGTCTTGGAGGTAAGGTGGGGTAGCGTGGGCTGTGTTTGCTTTGTTTTGTTTTTTTTTCTTTTACTGTAACATGGAATATTTTCCTTGCGGTTTTCTGGTGCAGAAATGAAAAGCTGGGACAGTATTTGTTTCTCAAGCATGCAGCTTTGTGCAGAACATGAGATAACCTTGGGAAAAGGAAGCTGCGTCCCACATAACAGTTTAGTTTAAAAATCATATTTCGTTATTTAGTAGACTAGCAAATTTTTTTCTCTGGCCTCGAAAACAACTAAGCATCTTTTCCCGTGAGAAATGATACGGGCACCAGAGGGGTCAAACTGAAGTAGGTGAATAAACAGTACTGAGAAAACAGTGATATCAAATATTGATAAGGGAAAGAATTTGGTGTGTTTGTACTACTGGATTCTAAAAGGTCTGTGACTGCTTGGGAAGAAGAGCAGGTCTTGAGAGGTGGTTCAGTGACGGTGTTTCTGGCGCTAGGCAAGGTGGTGTGGGGAACTTAGTGTTTTTAGGGAGTCTAAAACCACTGAGAGGATCGCACTGATGGAGAGTGGAACTCCAGGTATAAATGGATGTAGATCCTCTCACTGTAACAGTATGTCAGAAAAGACAGAGTGGAAGAGTAGGGGCTTTGAAGATGTACAGCAGAAACTGTATGAGGCTGTAAAAACGGGCTTGAAGAGAAACACATGCTGAGAGAGCCAAGTGTTGTTCTCTCATTGGTACAGTGCAGTGAGCGGTTGTCTCTCAGCCCGACATCTGCTAATGCACACCGATGCTCACGATACTCCCAGTCATGAGGCAGCATTATAGGAGGAATAACAAATAATTCGATGCTTCCGGATCCAAACGTTCAGACTGATGCAGTTTGGTTTTGTCACGGCTCTCTGTGGTGACGGCCTTGTCTGTCGGATCTGTGGCTGAGCTGTGATGTCGACAGTGAAGTAAGACAGACCTGTCATGGTGAATCAGCTTTTCCTAACGGTGCCGTGTCACTAAAGCGAGCTGCAAAAACCGGGCTCCTGACTCTTGGAGGATAAATTTTTCAAAGGAGGGTTTTTTTTCAAACTAGGCAGCCAGCTCGCAGGGGTCATCAGGTATGAAGGTGTATAGGCATGGTGTTGAAAAACACCTTGTCAGGTGTAACTAGCTTCCTTTTGAAATCTCAGTTCCCAGCATCTGTCTCATTACGAATTCTAGGTGTTTACACAGTGTTTTAAAGATAAACCTTTTCATGAGTTGCGGAGAGACTCTTCGGTTCATTCTGGGCCCTCAATTTTTCAGTGTCTTGCAAACTGTAGATCTGCTTCTGGGTTGTGCTCCTGCTTCTGTTGGATCCCACCTCCCAGGCTTTCTGCGTAGTGTGCCTTCTGCTGACTCTGGGGAGGAAGGTGTAAGATGGCTTTCATCTCAGTTATCACAAGGTTTATGTACCTCTGACTTGGCGTGTGTGTTTATAGAAGTTCTTACTGCTGTTCCTCTTCGGAGCTCCCGTCCTTCTCCCGGGTTTCACAAGATGTAGGATTTGAAGTAGTTTGCTGCTGAAAGGGCTGATAGTTTCAACTCTCTGATACAGGAGGTGTTTTAAAATGCTCGTATTTTATTTGTTTTTCAGGCTATGATGTCTGGAGAGCTGGATATCCTCAAAGATTGGTGCTACGAAGCGGTAAGTAGAGCTGCTGTAGGTGTCCGAGAGGGTGACGGGTGTACGTAGGTGTGTTGTGCTTTCTTTGCTCGCAGACTGTCCAGCTCTTGTGTCTGTGATGTTGCTTGCCCTCTTTGCCCAGCTGCTTCCCCACCTAACGTGTTCGTACTGCAGCACGCTAACGCGGTCGAGTGAGGTGCTGGACTTGCAGAGTAGTCTGTCTGGGTACGAGAGGAGAGCTGTTCAGGGACAGCAGCGAATCGAGGGCTGGGCTCAGACGAGTCCTGTCTAGCTCCAGTACCGCACTGCCCTTGATTTGGATGGGCTTTAGTAGAGCCTGTATCCCAGATTTGGGGTGAGAAGGTGCAGAGACATTTGAGCTGACTCAAAAAGTTGATGCTTTTCTGCTTACAGAGTCAGGTTGTCCCTGGAGCTGCTGTACAAACACAACTCCACTGCAGTATCCCAGGAGATAATCCTGGCAGGCTGAAGGCCTGCTGAAATTGCGGCATAGATGCTCCCCAGCCTGGATAATCTCACTGCAGAAATCTGAATTCTGTTTTGTTGTACAAAGCTTGGCTTTGTTTTTGTGCTGGGGTAGATTTTCAGTATTGGATCCGCTTCTTGAAACAGTGAATGTCAATTGATTGTGATTGAGCGATAGTGTTATTCGCTTCACAAAAGCAGATCCTTTCCTGACAACATAGATGGATGTTTGTTCTGGTCTTTGCTTTGCTCCAAAATAATGGTGTTGTCAGCAACGCAGAGCCATAGTTGTTCTGTTTCTAAAGAATTTAATTGCTTCAAGTGACTGTTCTCCTTCCCGATTGCCAGCAGAGGGCTGGAAATGCACACGCTGGCGGAGGCAGTTGGTTGTATTTACGTTTTTGTGGTGCTTAGTTAGTGTTTAACATCTTTGTAATAATACTGCAGTATGAAAAGTAAGAGAAACAAGAGTTTGAAGGTAAAGAAAGTTCATTATCGGTTCCAGCAACCTTTGAAATAACACCGTAGAGGAGTTCTGCAGTCTCTAGAGGGGAGTAGCAGATTCCCTGCAGTTCATAAGACAAAGAGCAAACCCTTCTAAGCTAGATGGAGATAGAAATGAAGCTCATAAGTCAAGAATCATCCATAAAGTAAGCCAGGGGAGGCAATGAGAGCCCTGTTAATGAGAACCCAGGAGATAAAGGCTCTTGAACAGAATCGTACCCCAGGTGTTAAGGTTGTGATACTGGTCACTAAAGTGTAGGAATACAAACCAGTAAGGCAAAATCTTATTTAAGTTAATATCAAATGATGTGCAGGTTGCTGCCGCTTAGGTACAGTTGGTGGTTCACAGAGCTGTCCCAGCCTACTGTCCTCAGCATCCTGATCTGTAGCTCCAGCGTCACTCTGGTGACTTTGCCACTGTGCCTCTAGGACGTTGACATTTAAATGCCTGTGATGAAGGTGAGAAGCTCGGAGGTGGGGAGGGACAACCTCCTGTTTGTTTGATGCCTGCCAAGAATACGGCGATAATGCTGGAAACGAGTAGAAATCCACTATCCCCAACAACCGTTCTCGATGCATAAATAATGAAGCATATGTGCATGTGCCTGAAAAGAGCCAGGAAATGCTGGTCTGCCTCCAGGGTCTGGCTGGGTATTAGGAAAATAGCTCAGATCCCAGACTGTTCCTCCTTGTCTGCTCTCAAACCAGAATCACAAGCGGCTTGGCTATGAGGTGCCCTCGGTGTACGTGTTTTGTTGTGAATGATGGAGCTCCTGTTCTGGCTGGGGGAGGTGGGAGTTTTGCTGAGAATTCGGTTATGTGAAGCCCAGAGCGTTTGATGTAGCTGTTTGATACCTTGGGAGACGTACGTGTTCCAAAAAACCCGACTTCTATACCTGTCTTTTTTGATGGTTCTCTCTAAGCAGAAAATCCCTTTGTGACAAATGAAATTCAAACGTGTAACACAAGTTTGTTCCTTCGTTTAGACTTACAGCCAGCTTGCTCACCCAATCCAGCAAGCCAAAGCCGTGGGTCTCCAGTTCCACTCCAGGATTCTTGACATTGACAACATTGATGTGAGTGTCCTGTTCTGTATTTCACCTTGGGGGATGAATTAGACACTCATGGCCTGGAGGAGGGGTTTTCTCTTTGCTCTGACTGCTGGTTTTTTGCCTCATGCTACTCTGGTATTTGCCATCTCTGCTAAAAGAGGAACAGACCTCATGGGACAGGTTCACTGCTGTGTGATCAAGCCTGAGTTTCAGCGCTGTGGTTTGTCTCCTCGCTGCCGGGGCACCTTGGTCTTAATTGCCAGCACACAGATTGACAAAGGCTGATAAAGGCAGAGAGCACTGACACAGGGCTTTCATCAGGGGCCCTGTTGGTGTGCACTTGGACTGATAACGCGCAGAAGCGCTGTGACTCAAGGCTCTGCTGTGCAGGAGTGGCTGTCGGAGAGACCTAACGGCTGTACGGGGTGGCTCCTGATGAGAAGGGAGGTACTGGTGGTGAGTGGAGCAGTGTTGGCAGCTGGGGGCTCAGGCCAAATGTCTGCACAATCGTAATGCTCTGTGCATTCCCCTTTATTGATGAGCCAGAGGTGTTGCAGTTCTTGGTGGTAAGTCTGCAGTAGTACTTGCATTTCACCGCATGCTGGGGGCTGGCAGGGACCTTTGGAGAATCATAGAATCATAGAATGGTTTGGGTTGGAAGGGACCTTAAAGATCATCTAGTTCCAACCCCCCTGCCATGGGCAGGGACACCTTCCACTAGACCAGGATGCTCCAAGCCTCATCCAGCCTGGCCTTGAAGACATCCAGGGATGGGGCATCCACAGCTTCTCTGGGCAACCTGTTCCAGTGCCTCTTCACCCTCTCTGGGAAGAATTTCTTCCTGATATCTAATCTAAACCTCCCTGTTTGCAATTTGTACCCATTGCCCCTTGTCCTGTCACTACAGGCCCTTGTAAAAAGTCCTCTCCCAGCACCCTTGTAGACCCTTCAGGTACTGGAAAGCTGCAATGAGGTCTCCTCGGAGCCTCCTCTTATCCAGGCTGAACACGCCCAGTTCTCGCAGCCTTTCATCATTTAGTCATGAGACTAGTCATCTAGACTAAAGAACTAGTCCATCCCCCTGCCCAAGCAGGTTCACCTACAGCAGGTTGGACGGGAACACATCCAGGCGGATTTTGGATATCTTCAGGGAAGCACAGTCCCCAGCCTCCCTGGGCAGCCCCTTCCAGTTCTCTGGCACCTCACAGTGAAGTTCTTCCTTACACTGGGATGGAACTTCCCGCTTTCCAGTTTGTGCCCGTTGCCCCTTGTCTTGTCACTGGGCACCACTGAAGGGAGTCTGGCTCCCTCCTCTTGACACCCGCCCTTTAGGTATTTATAAGCACTGATAGGATTTAATTAAATCTTTAGTATCATCTCACTAGGCCCCGAGTTCTCTTGCAGATCTTTCTTGCCTGCAGCGGCAAAGGTATCTCAAAGAAACTGCCACCTTTTGTCAGACCTTTCCTATCCCATACCCAGCTCTGCCTCCCGGGAGGTGTGCGAGGGGGGGAAGGGGGCAGCTGTACACCAGTGCTTTGAAATGCGTGGAAATGCTGAGCAGACACCTCAGCTCTTCGCCGTCAGAGCTCCTGCGTGTTCACTGCATGTTTCTGCTGGAACACGATATTCCTGTCCTACCCCATCCAGCTGGGGGGTTATCCTCAATAGAGTTAGGAGCTGAATCCATTTGGACAATGACCGTGAAGCCAACGGCACGGTCACTCCTGTGGGAACAGGGGTCTGAACCCAGAGGGGATCTGCTCCAGGGTGAGGAGGCAGAGGTTTGGAAGCTTTCCCATAGAGGTGGAAGTGGAGTGTGGTGATAAAAGGATGCTGTCAGGAAGCGGGATGTTCCAGGTGTTGGGTGTCATGGCTGGCCAGATGTTTCTTGCTTGTGGTCACAGCCCTGCAAGACCAGAAGTCAGGAGGAATTCAGCAACCGTCATGGAAAACGGGGAGAACAAAACGGGATGCGGTGGGGGTTGCTGAAAGGAGGAGCACTGAGGGGGTGTTGCTGTGTCTGCTGCGCTGTGCAGGAGTGTCTCCTTTTGTGCCCACCTCATTAAAAAACTGGAGTGGGTGCGGGAGAGCTCCAGAAATGAGGGGAAATGCCCTACAGTAGAGACCAGGTTTGACAAAGGGACAGTGGGAACTGACTTGATTAATGACCACGTATCTTCAGGGGAGCACGAAGATCATCTGCGAGGCATCTCCTAACACAAAGGGCTAATGTCTCGCCCTCGTCTAGGACTGGTTTTCCTTTTGGCCTTGATAGGCTTCTAATTTTTCCTCAACCACCTGGGTCCAGAGGAAGCCATTCCTGCCCTTCGGTAACTCTGGATATTAACCAGAAGCATGTGCCACACGAGCAGGAAAATTCCCATGACGTTTGCAATTCTCTTGATTGTCTTCAGCCATAAATAATGAGTTCTAACAGAATTAAAGCTATGGGAGTAATAAACATGATTGCTTTTTTCTAAGCATCTTCTGTAAATCAAAGGTTTTCTGTGTTGTTAGTGTCTAGGAGACTCGATTTCATTGTATGCTAATGACTTTTTTCCTCTGTAGGTGGTAATTAGTGGCTGGAAAGACTTTTTTTATTAACTTGCTTTAGATGCCTGTATTTTTGCATGAAATGTCTCAAGAAAAGGACACATTAGCTGGAAAATGACCAATATGGACCATAAATGAGTGCAGTTCCTGTTACGCTGTCTGTATTACAAGCAAGGGGGATAAAGGGTGTTGTGGGTTTAAATTTTTAAATGTGTTTTCCCTGGAGGAGATTTATGGGAGTAAGTTGAGTGATCTCATCCAGAAAAACACTTGGGTGAGGTTGGAAAGAAAGAAACATTTAGAAGATTTAAGGGAATACGTGAACCGAAAAGTTGGCAGCATTAAAATTAAAACCAAGTCTTTCAGACAGGCATCTGAACCACGTTCCAGGTACTTGCTTAAGCACTTCACTAGGCAACTCCTGCCTTTAAATTTAGTGGAATTTTGGATCCTTGCTATTTCTTAGGATTATTTATTTGGCTGCCTAAATGTAGTTTTAAGTCTGTGGCTGGTGAAACGGGGTTTCTGAGCTTGGTGTGGGAGGAGAAATATAAACCCTGTCTTGACTATAGAGTTTTTTGGGGATCACAGGACTGAAAAATAAAGCATTACCAGTATGGAAATCTTGGTGTTTGTAAAGTATACGGCTTAGTGATGCAGTTGTCCTCTTGCTTGAAACCCATGTGGAAATTCACACTGTCAGATTCTCGGTGCCAAGCGGTGTCATGTAAAATGTGACGCGGGAACCGGTCTGACACAGAGCTGTGAGACTGGGGGTTTGAAACTGGGGTGGCATTAGGCATTGCTGCAGGAGTCAGGCCCGTTCCAGAAATGCGGCGTGGACTGGGACGGTGTGGGTTACTGCAGTGCTGCGGAGCTCATTCCCTCAGGTTGAGCAAAGGAGCATTGCAGTAGTGCTGAGTTTTCCTCAGGGGATAGGAAAATAGAAATATATATATATATACGCCCTTGTGAATTATGGCACGGTCTTGCAACTGTCTCTTCTGATACATTCTTTATTATCTGATAAAATGCGGGGTTTTTGAAACGGCAACTCTCAATACAGAGAGTATTATCCTGCTACTTTAAGCTTGAGGTGGTGTGCTTACCTTTTTGGGTAACTCCAGTTCCTGAAGAGCAAGATGTTCTCTAGCATCCTGCATTCCCAGAAAGAGGGTTGTATTTTTAAAAGAGCACAGCTTTGGGAAACAAGAGTGAATCCTCCATTCCTCTTTGCATTTCAATTAAGTTCTTTAAATATTTAATGGAGTTACCTTAGACTAGAGGGAAAAACCTCTGTCAAAAGGTTCTCACCCCAAAGTCT